AAAACTAATAATTTTCTCTCACTTTTTTCTAATATGATTGTCATTAACACTATTATGTGATGTTTTGCTCGACATTCCGTATTATATTTATTAATTTAATTTATTGTTTTAATAATAATATTTGTATTTTTCCCAAACATTATTGCAGTTGATATCTGTTTGGTTTGCATTTAAATTTCGTGGACTTCGAAACCCAGAATTAAATCCTTACCGTTATTTCCAAACATGAAATTCTAGTCATTTTGTTTTGAAATAATTGAGATTTTATTATTGTATAAATTTATATATTTATGTATTAAAATTTAGTTTGACTATTGATTTACTCATTAATAAATTCATTTCAATTATAAACTGTTTTAAAAACTATTTTTGTTTTATTTTTCACGTTTAAAACAATAAAGTTTTACTTGTCTTTACGTTAAACTGATTCTAATATCTATTTATCTGATATTCATTATTGTATTTCATTTTTTGCAAACAAGTGATAATAAATGTGACAATTATTTTGATGAATTGATTTTAAGATAATTTAATAAACCTATTCTCATGAGTCATAGGATGAGAAATACAAAGCTTGTATTATTATTGGTTTGTATTACTTGGTCAATTATTCATTCCGAATTAATTATTATTTAAATGTCTGTATATTTATATCAAAATAAATTATTGGAGAGTATTTTATTCTTCACCGTTCATTTTCTTATAATCGGGTCTAACTGTATAAAAATTAATAACATTTATAAATGATTAATTTGATTGCAGAATATAAAACAATTTATAATGAATTAGTTTTCAAGTGTTTATTATGTATAATTAGTGAAAATAAAAAATTATATACAGTAGCTTAATTTTGATTTATAAACTATGGTAATTTTTCCCATAGTAAGTAAAAATACAATAATTTTTGTTTTATACATTGAATACTACAAAGCTTCAAAAAGTGTCTTGGTCCAACCTTAGTGTTACCATGTATGTTCTTACAATACGTTAATAAATGGCATTCACAGTAACTTTGCATTAAATTCCAATTCTTGTTGAAGTCATGCATTGTTTGCCCTTTAAATGCAAACATTGAGAGACCTCTACAGTATATTCGCGACACACATGTCATCACTGTTTCACTGTTTTTCACATTTTTTGTCATTTTTTGATAATTTTTTATACATTTTTACTTTTATTGTTATAATTAATCACATCTGAAGATAATTTGACGACATATTTGTTCATAAGTTATCACCAAAAATGAGCGGTCAGTCTGTGTTATCGTACGAAGACTTTGTGTCTTTGCATTCAAACCAATTGCAGGCATCAGAAGTGCCGCAAACATTTTGGCCAAAACTTTATGACAAACTTTTGGCCGATTCTTTGGATTCTGGACTCGACTTCAGAATCGATGCAATTGTTTACAACGAAGAGGACGACGAAGACGTGGACGACGTGCCGCATATGAACGGTTCATCTGATCCACAATCCAATGATACCATTAATATTGATGAGAACCGACGAGTGAGCGATACTCAGCGCTCATATCGTGTCGTTTGCATCAAAGAAGAGGGAATCGATGTCTTGAGTGACACCACATGTGATGCCATTTATCTAATCGATCACATGATTACCTATCGTTGCGATCAAATCCACGATATATTGCTTCAGACAAATGGTCTGATCGATAGGTTAAGCGATTTGTTTGAACTCAAGTTCGATGACATTGAGGACAGGGAACTAATGGCCAGAACTGTAGCAAAAGAGTTGTGGAAATGGAATCAATGCTATTCTATAGAGTCATCGGAAGTGGAAAATTCATTACCGGTTTGGTATTTGATGGATGAGTTCGGGAGTCGTATTCAGCACTCAACTGATCCCAACTTCCGTTGTGTCCCCTTTTACTTCATCCCCAGAGGTATCGCGTATTCACTTCTCTTTCCCATTAAATCGGTTTCGTTTGGCGAAGAAGTGACCCGTAATTACATCGAGGGATCACTAAATGATGAGTTCACTGAAAATCGTCCTTTTACTTCATCCCCAGAGGTATCGCGTATTCACTTCTCTTTCCCATTAAATCGGTTTCGTTTGGCGAAGAAGTGACCCGTAATTACATCGAGGGATCACTAAATGATGAGTTCACTGAAAATCGTGATCTTTTGTCGACTGCATTAATGCATCCGTGGATTGGATGTGATTTGTCAGAAGTGGACGCAAACCAAACCGAACCCAACATTGCATTCATTAGACGCGGAAGAGTTGAAGAAAGTTATGTTTCCATGGATTCCACATATTATCCAGAATTACCCCAAAATCGCAAAATTAAAGTCTATTCTCATTACAAGTATATTAATGAATATTTAAGTCACGAATCGTTTGAAATAACGGACTCTACAGCGGAGGCAGACATCCTTTGGTTGAGCTCTCATTTCAAAGAATTCAAAGAACTCTTGGATGAGAAGCCAAATGTCTTTATAAATCAGTTCCCATTTGAACACATAATTACTGTAAAAGATTTGTTTGCAATCGTTTGTCGGCGAAAGAATAGCACCCATTCTGTGGACGAGAATAGTTTGTCAACTCGTCCCGAATGGTTGGCCACCACTTATAACTTGCAAACAGAAATCGTTAAATTTGTCCTTTTACTTCATCCCCAGAGGTATCGCGTATTCACTTCTCTTTCCCATTAAATCGGTTTCGTTTGGCGAAGAAGTGACCCGTAATTACATCGAGGGATCACTAAATGATGAGTTCACTGAAAATCGGGATCTTTTGTCGACTGCTTTAATGCATCCGTGGATTGGATGTGATTTGTCAGAAGTGGACGCAAACCAAACCGAACCCAACATTGCATTCATTAGACGCGGAAGAGTTGAAGAAAGTTATGTTTCCATGGATTCCACTTATTATCCAAAATTACCCCAAAATCGCAAAATGAAAGTCTATTCTCATTATAAATATATTAACGAATATTTAAGTCACGAATCGTTTGAAATAACGGACTCTACAGCGGAGGCAGACATCCTTTGGTTGAGCTCTCATTTCAAAGAATTCAAAGAACTCTTCGATGAGAAGCCAAATGTGTTTATAAATCAGTTTCCATTTGAACACATAATTACTGTCAAAGATTTGTTTGCAATCGTTTGTCGGCGAAAGAATAGCACCCATTCTGTGGACGAGAATAGTTTGTCAACTCGTCCCGAATGGTTGGCCACCACTTATAACTTGCAAACAGAAATCGTTAAATTTGTCGCGTATTTCCAAAAGCGAGCGAAACGTGGTTTAGATAACCACTGGATCTGTAAGCCTTGGAATTTGGCCCGAAGTCTGGACACACAGATCACCGACTCTTTGGACTGTATTATTCGACTCCGAAATACTGTTCCCAAAGTTGTCTGCAAATACATTACAGAACCGGTTCTGTTCCGGAGGAATGAACTGAACGGAGCTCTCGTTAAGTTTGACATACGATATATTGTTCTCTTGAGATCAGTATCTCCTCTCGAAGTCTATGTTTACAAGTATTTTTGGCTCCGATTTTCAAACAAAGCATTTTCTTTGGATAACTTCGATGACTACGAAAAACATTTTACAGTAAGCCATGAATTATTCGATATATCATAAGTTATGATTCATAACCTCATATAAGCCCTCAATTATTTGAAGATGTTTTGAGACTACAATTGATTTGAATTCAATTGAATTTCAGGTAATGAACTATAAGACAGGACTGGAAGGCGAGCCCACACCTGATAATCAACAAAATGACATTCAATTTAAACAAATGTTTTGTAGCGATTTTATCGACCAGTTTAATGAACAATACGGACCCGACTATTGCTGGACTGATGTCGAGCGCGATATATACAAGACATTGAAAGAAGTGTTTGAATGCGCGACTTCCAGACCACCCCCTCATGGAATCGGACATAACTTACAATCGAGAGCTTTATATGGAGTCGACGTTATGTTGAAGTGGCAAACAAACAGCCAAACAGAGGCCAAACGCATACAACCGGTTGTACTGGAGATGAATTGGGCGCCCGATTGCGAGAGAGCCTGTCTTTACTACAACCACTTCTATAATGATATCTTTTCGACGCTATTTCTCAATGATTTCGATCCAAATGCTAATAATGTAATACTTTTATAGATTTTGTTTAAATCATGATTGCATTCAATTCAGAATTTATAATAAAAGTTTATTTCAATAAAGACTTTTGAGGATTCTTTCTGTCAATATCTTCAAACTGTGGGAAAATAGGGATCAGATCTGAGGACTGGTTATGGTTTTGAACTCTTTTCTCAATTGACGGCCAAATTAATTGAAAAAGAAGTTGAGATCCAATGCGTGAGAAGTGAAGTCCATCGCAAAACAATTGCTCTTTATTTTGTTGTTTAGAGAAGTGTTGGAATAAATCAATGAATTCAACACCGCTTTTATGTGCCGTACGTCCGACCGCTTCCGCATATTTAGCGACCGTTTGCTCGTCTTTTTGAGGCAATGTTTTACCATTTTGTCGACAGAAATCTGTAAACTTTTGATGACAATAAACGGGTGGAGACATCAAAAGGATCCGCTCTCTAGTGATGCCAGTGGTCTCCAAATGATCGATAATTGAGCTTAAATTGTCTGCAAACTCGTCGATCGGGACGTGTTGTTGAGACGGGGCGTCGCAGGAATCGTTGGCTCCCAAAAGTATGGTCAGACACGACACCTCTGAGGCGTTCATTGTTTTGTCAAAAATTTGATCACAAATCATACGAAGCCATCGACTGTTATAACCGGAAAATCCGCGGACAATAACATCACTCACTCTGTAATGAATTGCATTTTGATGTCACAAATGTATGAATAGATTATACGAAGACATCATTTGAGGCAAACCTTTGCAATTTGTCGGCCAATAATGAGCCCCAAAGACCGTCCGACGGCTCGAAAGCCCTCTGAAAATGACATTTAAAAATACATTCAAATGTTTGATACAAAGGATACCAAAGGATAATAAAACCTGAGTTAAAGAATCGCCGAAAAGTATCACTTTATTCCACTTCTTCGCTGCCATTACTCTTACCTCCAATCAAATCAATAAACATATGTTTTATACGTTATTCAATGTGCAACTAATTAAAAACAATCGATGCCATAGTTATTAAAATATGGCACATCATTAGCAATGCTAATTTAGCAGTTAGGATGCAGCATGGTCACTTTGACGACAACCAATTGACATTACAGTTACATTTGAAAGTTGTCTCACAAGCGATGCCATCATATTTGCCACAAGAGGTCAGTGTATATGCGATAAGAGTATTGCAAACCAATGATAACACTTCAGCCATAATAGTGTTGTTTAGTGTTGTTTTGCATTCAATTGTATCCCAAATGTTGACCAGAAGTGTATTGAGCGGACGGCAAGTGTTGCGGGCGTTTGTGCGGCGATCGCACGCGGAGGCGATCCCCGAGAAGTACATGAAGTTCCGAACGGGACATATGGACGACGCTTTGGTCCCAACGGGCGACTGGAAAGAGGCCTACAATCAGTTGCAGAGCAAATACCACAAGCAGTTGTTCGCGTCGGTGCTGTACTTCGTGGTGTCCGCCGGTTGGATCTACTCCAGCGGTGTCATCGATCTCGTGCTTCCGCCGCCCTATAAGAACGAGAAGTAGACCCGAGAAGAAGGTGTGGAACCGCTTCACCTCAACGAACGAAGAAATTATCTATTATTACATTTAGTTTATAAATTGATTATATATTTGCCATTCAATTGGATTTCACTTACAATTAGATGCTATTTGTGTTGAATATAAAATGCTATTTGTTTTAAGTATTAGTCTTTTAGAGAAAATTGTTTTCAATTCAAATACAATGAAATAACAATAAAAAGTACTTTAAAATCAAATTAGATTAATATTTTGATTGAAACTTTTATTTAAATTAAATTATTGAAGACTTCATTATTTCATAATTTAAAAAAACGTCAATTAAATAAAACTTAGCGAAACATTCAATGGGTTTTGTATGTGTTAATCGATGTCTCGATATAGCAGTTGATTAGTATTCAAAACGAATAAAAACATTTACAATCATTTGAAATTCATCTCAAATATTAAGTGTAAATAAAATTATATAACTTATGAGAATTTGTAATAAAAATGGTTAAAATATGTAATTATGTATCGAAATGACGAGACAATGGATTCAAACTATTATCAAAAGAAGTGATGGTTTTGAGAGAAGACGTGAAGACTTTTGTCACAATTGTTCACAAAGTGGTAAAACGTTGAATGATTTGAACTAATTATCGATTTATAAACAAATGGTTTGAACTCTTGTTTTGTGTGTTTAATAGCTATTAATGAAAGCTCAATGAAATTAAGGTCACGTCAAGCCATTAGTGTTGATATTATTGTCTAATCTGTGAATATTTCCATTTGTAGTCACAATCGTTAGTTGTGTCACTTCTGTTCATTCAATACAGCAATTGTTATAACATTTGCAACAAAACAGATTCAATTGATTCAAAATTACAAACCATTTGTCACTTTCTGCTGTTGTTGTTGCTGTTGAGTGACCGGACAGTCCTTATGCGCCAGAAGTGCAGTCTTTAAAAGAGTCACTTCCCGTCTGAGAGCCACGACTTCGCTCTAAATCAATGCATATATAATCAATGATTAGTAATCATTACATAATGAATGTATCAGTTATTGTAAATTACTTGTAGTTTTTCATTGATTTTCTCGTATTCGTCGGCCTTCTCTTCGAGGGAATCGATCCAATGTTTGCGTTTGAGTCGACACCTCATGGCTGCGGCTCTGTTGCGCTCCAGAGACCGGGCCTTCTTCTCCTTCGGGTCCTCTTCGGGCGCGAACTTACTCTTGCGTCCGGGTTTGGCCTTCGGTGGCAGCGATGCCAGAGTGGCGTCCACTTTGCTCTGCAGACTCGACAGTGAGGTCTCGTTTCCGTGACTAGAGCTCGAAGTGATCGCTCCGATTGTCAGCGACTCAGCACTCGTGACGGCCAACAAGTCGTTCAATTTGTGGGAAGCGCTCGTCGGCTGCAGCGCTGTCTGAGTGATCGGCGTTTGGATTAACGGCAACTGAACTGATCGGCCGTCCGGAAGCTTAAGAATCACTTTATACAGAGAGTTACTACTGTTGCCAATCGTGAGCGAAGTCTCTTTCATTTTGGGGGCAATTATTGCAGTGTTTTTAGGCATTTGTGCCGTTTGTGCGATCGGAAGAGTCCGTAGTTTTGTTGTGTTCAGTGTTTTCATCAGTTTGTGGTTCGACTGAGAGATTACAATATTGGGAACCGTCGACGAAATGGTCATATTATTGTTGACCGCAGATGTGTTGGCCGTTCGTATCACTGGAACCGCTTGAAAGCGTTGCCCTTTCAGCGCGTTCTTCAGTGTCTCTCCTTTTGGCCGGTTTTCGGCGCTCGAGTTAGTGGTCGTCACTTCACTGACCAAAGCGGTCACCGATTGAGTGGTTTCAACGGTTTGGCCGAGAGTTGCGTCCACTCTATCGATGGTTGTGTTGAAATGGAAGTCATGGTCGGGTGTATTGAGAGCCGCGTTCACGATAGCCATCAGCCCTTCGTTCGGAAAAATGGAGGGCGTATTGAGCGGTGAATCCGATGTCGAAGAAGCGGTGATTCGTGTCGTTATTTCGGGTATTTTTAAATGATTGGTGTTTTTGAGCGCATTTTGAAACGATTGGGCGAAAGGATTGTCGGCTGAACTGGACTTTGAGTTACAAGTGTTTGTGTTGTCCTTATTGTCGTCGGCGGCCGTCTTTGACGTGTGGTTGGAATCGTTGAGAATAGGCGTCAAGTTTGTGATCTCCTGTATCTCTGAGTTGAGTCCCGACGCCTCCCAGTTCTGCAAGAAGTTGCCCAAAATCCTCGACGGCGTCGGCGTCTGGTCTGCGATCGACAACTGGGAACTCATTGACGACAACTTCAGTTTCATTGTGTGCTGTTTCTGATGCACTGCCAACCGATCCACTGTCGAGAACTTCTGTTACCACCGAAGAAGACAATTAGATTAATATTTCAATGCCATTACAATTGTATGACAATCGCATCCCAATAGACATACCATAAGACATGCCCTTTCGGTGCAGACAAACGGCTTATCGTTGGTATCGTTCATCTCTTTGGGGACCAATTCTCACACTAAACTCATCACAAATTATTGTCACAAATAGTCAAATGTTTTTGTGTTTTGTTTTTCAAATCCGATTCAAAAGTGATTCAAAAGTCAATGTAAATAATGAGTCAATGATTTGTGTTTGCATTCAATCGATGAATGAATGCATTGAATGTCGTAATAGTTTTTAGACAAATGTTTTCATTCAATTCAATACTGCAATACATTTAGGCCTTCACTCACAACACCCGCACAGAGCGTCCCTTTCGGGCATTTCATCACTCATTGGCTGCCATTCACTCAACACATGAACACCTATTGGTGTCCGGAAAGCGCACTCTCTATCACACACTCAAAGCATTGCATCTCTTGTTAGGGGTGTTTGCGGGCCTTCGCTTCAAACAAATGAAATCTGCATTTTAGTCAACACCTCTACTCTCAGAATTGCGCCTCTTTTTAGAACCGCTTTTATTTGTAATCCATTTATGCAATGCTTTCACACAAATACACACTATTCTAGATATGATGGCATTCAAGCAGCCCTTTATTCCTATACAGCCTAACCATTACATCATTACATGTCCTGTAATTGATTGTCATTATAACCAATATATCACTATATAATGACCACAATTGACACAATCACGCGATACGTATACAACAAGTTATACAACACAAGGGTTGCGTTGACTAAACCGAGAGTTGTCTGTATTTTATACAATGCAATGCCGACTCTGTGTTATAATTAGAGTTATTAGGATTGCATGCAATGAACTATTGGTCACCATTTGAGAGCATTAGTCACTAATTGTATTGAGAATTGACTTTCGATGCAATGGTTTGCAAACGATATGCAAATCAATTGAATGTCTTTTAAGATTACAGAATATTTGAATACAAGAATATGTATTGACACGAGTGTTGCAGAGATGGCGGTGTAGGCAGTGATGGAGTGATAGCATAGGCTATGCCATAGAGTGTAGAGTGAGTGCAATAGTGGACAGATATTCACTCAACACATGAACACCTATTGGTGTCCGGAAAGCGCACTCTCTATCACACACTCAAAGCATTGCATCTCTTGTTAGGGGTGTTTGCGGGCCTTCGCTTCAAACAAATGAAATCTGCATTTTCGTCAACACCTCTACTCTCAGAATTGCGCCTCTTTTTAGAACCGCTTTTATTTGTAATCCATTTATGCAATGCTTTCACACAAATACAGTCTATTCTAGATATGATGGCATTCAAGCAGCCCTTTATTGCTATACAGCCTAACCATTATATCATTACATGACCTCTAATTGATTGTCATTATAACCAATATATCATATATAATGACCACAATTGATACAATCACGCAATACGTGTACAACAAGTTACGCAACACAAGGATAGAGTTGACTAAACCGAGAGTTGACTGTATTTCATACAATGCAATGCCGACTCTGTGTTATAATTAGCGTTATTAGGATTGCATGCAATGAACTATTGGTCACCATTTGAGAGCATAATCACTAATTGTATTGAGAATTGACTTTCGATGCAATGGTTTGCAAACGATATGCAAATCAATTGAATGTCTGTTAATATTACAGAATATTTGAATACAAGAATATGTATTGACACGAGTGTTGCAGAGATGGCGGTGTAGGCAGTGATGGAGTGATAGCATAGGCTATGCCATAGAGTGTAGAGTGAGTGCAATAGTGGACAGAATAGTGGCATATATTCTGTTTGATTGAATGCACAGAATATTCATTTTGTGATATATTGTGTGTATTGTCGTGTGATTTGTGTGTATTATATGATAGCTATGATAGATATGGTGGAGATGTATGTAATATATGGTTCCCAATATGTGGTTGTGTTGTGTTTGGTGTAAGCGTTTGGTCACACAATTGATGCCAATATAGCATAGGATGAGACGAGACATCGGGTGACCCCTTATTCTTGTGGCCATTATATACACGCATAACATGTCGAATGACTTCAACCTATTTTGTATGAAATCCGAGCAAAACTTTTCACTACATTCTCTCTCTCTCTCTCTCTCTCTCTCCACTTAAAGGATTCGTTAGTTTTCTTTATAAGAATTGAAATAAACGGCAAAACTATAGACCAAACAATGCATACAACAAATAGTTGAGCGAAAATTGTTGAATAGGAATTCGAGTCAAAATCATTGCTTTCATCCAAATATTTAATGTATTTTTGTAACAAAACACTGATTTGAGTCGACACATGACATTATGCGACACCCCATCGCCCCCTCCCCTCCCTATCTGTTCACTGTCTGTGTCTTTTACAGCGCATCTCATCCGCAAATGTTTGCTTTCATGTACTCATTCATAAACAGTGGTAAACAGATTCAGATAAAGGCTAACAAATGTATAATTTTTTGGCAATGAATAGTGAATGCATTGAATGGTTGAGCGAATGCACAGATATGGGCGCAGGTATGGCATGTATGGGCACGAGACCCAACTCTGTAGGTCTTTACGTGTAGGTCTCGCGTAACGCGAGTGAGTGACCCCTCTTTAACCTATCACTTGTGGGGTCTTCCTGTGGGGTTTGCCCCCCATTTCACATACATGTATATATATTACGATATGATATATCAAATATTTTTTGATTCATTCATTCATAGAATTCATTGATATTTTATTGTTTGTCATCAAAAATATACAAATTACTCGAAATACAGTTTAAGTTTGTGTGGAATTAAAAATGATTTGTTAAATGTTTGGAGTATTGGCTAACGTTTCAATAATTTTCATAACAATTCCACTGTTTGTAAGTTTGTGTAAATATTTAATAAAATTAATTTATTTGTATTACTATTTATATGTTGTAATGCGGGTTAACCTATAGTTTTTTGTATATGGATTATTTTATTGTTTTCAATTGATTATTTTGTTCACTATTGGCCTAAAATATCCATTGATTATTACTGTTAATTAATTTGTGTCCAAATCGCATATAAATGTCTGTCCAACCGATGTATGGCCACCCGTACGGCAGCACATATTAGACATTGCTTTATACAAACTTATAAAAAGCTTATTTGATCCAATTGTTCACCCGATAAATTAAACACATTTATAATGTAAATGGTATGAGTGGGCATCAATGACCACTGTAGCTAAAAATGTCCCGCGCCCTTGATTGTAGCCGTGGTGGTCACCCGATGTTCGGTCACTTATCGAGAGTGTTGAAACTGGTTCGGGACTCCGATGCCAAACATGTTGGCCGAAGATATGTTCATAGGGTAGGGATACAGGGAATAGACTATTGAGGATCACTTAGAGATGTTTAGGAACGGCTAGCGATTAAATTAACGGTGTTTTTATATTATTTCAACGCTAAAAAATTCCCGAAAAAAGTAAATTTGAAAATATAAACGCAATTAAAGTTTAACAAGAAGGGGTATAAAAACTATACCCACACTGCCTTCAACCCTGATATACCCCCTACTGA